ATGCCCTCATAGTCAAGTACAAGTTTGGTTTTGTTGATGGAAGCATTCCCCAACCTCCGGCTGATCCGGAGCTAAAGGCGTGGAGTCGTTGTGATGCGGTTGTTAAAGGATGGCTTCGGATCTCCATGGACAAGGAGGTACGAAGTAGCGTCCGCTATGCGAGAACAGCAAGAGAGCTGTGGATCGATTTGAAGGAGAGGTTTGGTCAGGGAAGTCTCACACGTGGATACGAGCTTCGACGTCAGCTCAGCGGGTTGTGGTAGGAGAAGTTGTCAGTATCCGCCTTTTATACTCGCCTTCGAACGATCTGGGAAGAGGCTCAGTCCATGTCACCTGCAGAAAAATGCACTTGCGGTCAGTGCAAGTGTAATCTGGAAATGCGCATTCGGTCCAAGGATGAAGCTTCCCGTCTCCTTGATTTCCTCATGGGGCTTGATGAGAGCTTCAGCACAGTACGAAGTCAGATACTGTCCATGAAGCCGTCGCCAAGTCTGTCCGAGGCATATAACATAGTCTCCGTCGACGAGCAACAGCGTCTCCTTACGCAGAAGCGTCGTCCCCAACCAGAAACAGCAGCTTTCGCGGCCAAGAATACTAATGAACGCCAATCTGGTCCTCGTAACAGTGAAGGTAAACCATTATGCCTACATTGTGGTAAATCTGGACATTTTAAGGATACTTGTTATGAGATCATTGGATGGCCGAGTCGTAGCAATAATGACAAAGGAGAACGTGGAGAGCGTTGGGAACGTAATGATCGTGGTGATCGCGGGGAGCGCGGGGAACGTGGTGAGTGCAAACGTCGATCTCAAACGGAGCGTCCTCCCAAAGCGGCAGCAGCTGAAACCGAAGCCAGTCCTGTTCAAGGCTTCACTACCACTCAGCTTGAGCAACTCCGCAAGTTCTTCGCCTCGTCTAAATCGATAGAAGACCCATCAGCTCATATGGCAGGTACGTTTCTCGATGAATGTGAATGGTTGATAGATTCTGGGTGCAATGAGCACATCACTAGGGACGCCAGCATATTTAGTGTCGAATTGGGTACAGATCACAGTCAGCCAGTAAGAATTCCAAATGGGGACAGTATTCCGGTAAAGAGCATCGGTTCTGTAAAGTTGAGTTCGGGAATCAAGCTTGATCGAGTTCTCTATGTGCCTGAATTCAAATGCAATTTATTATCAGTCAGCAGGCTAACTAGAGATAATGATGTTGCTATAATCTTTCTGCATGACATGTGTGTACTTCAGGACTTACACTTCAAGACCGTGATTGGGAAGGGGGTTCTCCGTGATGGACTCTATTTCTTGAAGTTGTTTGGAGAGAGAGAAAGGTTAGCATTCGCGGCTGATGGAGGTCACAAAGCCACGGAAGAAGTCTGGCATTCAAGATTGGGTCATTTGTCTTCAGGAAAGCTATCGCAGCTTGGTTCTGTTATTCATATTTCGGCAGTCAGAAATAAGTCACCTTGTCATTCTTGTTTTCGTGCTAAGCAGAGTCGGAACCCTTTTCCGCTTAGCTCAATTAAGACGTCACAGTGTTTTGAGTTGATTCATGTAGACATATGGGGTGGATATCAGACAGCTTCCACCAGTGGTGCACATTATTTCTTAACTATTGTTGATGATTTCAGTCGTGGTGTTTGGGTTTATCTCCTAAAGTTTAAGTCTGAAGTTGCTCGATATCTTCCTATGTTTTGTGAGATGGTTCAAACGCAGTTTGGTTCCAAGGTACGGCGAATCCAAGCCGACAATGGTCTTGAATTCACGTGTTCTTCCCTTCGTGAATACTATGAGGAATCAGGCATTATACTTCAGACTAGCTGCACCGACACACCTCAACAAAACGGAGTCGTGGAGCGAAAACATCGCCACATTTTGGAGACAGCACGTGCCCTTCGCTTTCATGCAGGGCTTCCAGTTCGTTTTTGGGGGGAGTGTGTTCTTACAGCAGTCTATTTAATTAATCGGATTCCCACTTCAGCAACAGGTAAAACACCATATGAGACTTTGTTTGGTAAGGCAGCTGAATATGCACACCTACGCGTGTTTGGATGTCTAGTATATGCCAAAGATAATCATGGGGGGTTACACAAGTTTGCTGATCGTGGAAGAGCTTGTGTTTTCTTGGGTTATGCGGCAACTCAAAAGGGTTATCGTCTCTACGATTTATTGACTCGCAAAATTCAAGTCTCTCGTGACGTTGTCTTTCACGAAGAGTTTTTTCCATTTCAGGCACAAGACCCCCGCGAATTCCATTGGCTTCCTACTCCTATGGTTGCCGAGTTATGTGAGGGTCAGCATGTCACTTCTAATGACTCTCCTAAGTCGTCTGTTTTGCAGCCAACGACGGAGCTGGAAGCTCCTGTTCACCCTCCTGTTGGACAGCCATCCTCAACTGATGGCGCTCAAGGCTCCACGTCCGATTCCCCTGGCAGCGGTACACAACACTCTTCGCACCAGGAGTCATCTTCGTCTCCAATCATCAATGATTCTCCTTCGTCCTCGAGTGCCCCTCCAAGTGCGGCACCAGAACCAGTCCTTCGCCGCAGTCAGCGTGATCGACATCCCCCCAAGAAGCTTGAGATTTATGAGACCGATCTCACCTCGGCATCTCATGTACGTTATCCTATCTCCCATCATGTTTCATATGATCGCGTTACCCCTTCTTACCGTGCCTTTCTTGCATCGGTTGACCGAGAAACGGAGCCTCGGACGTTCAAGGAAGCTGTTCGGCATGCACATTGGCGCGAGGCCATGGCAAAGGAGATTGCCGCTCTCCAAGCCAATGGCACGTGGAGTTTGGTTGCTCTACCTTCTGGTAAATGCTGCATTGATTCTAAATGGGTGTTTAAAATTAAGTACCGCCCGGATGGTTCTGTAGAACGGTACAAAGCTCGTCTCGTCGCAAAAGGGTATACTCAGATTGAGGGTGTGGATTTTCATGACACGTTTGCTCCTGTAGCTAAGCTTGTCACAGTTCGTTGCCTTTTGGCAGTTGCTGTTAGTCAAGGGTGGTTCCTACATCAACTAGATGTGAACAATGCTTTCTTACATGGGGATTTGTCCGAAGAAGTTTACATGAAGGTTCCACCTGGGTTCGGACAAGATGGTGATGCGCGAGTCTGCCGTCTCCATAAGTCCATCTATGGGCTGCGACAAGCTTCGCGGAATTGGTATCAAAAGTTCACCGCTTCTCTTGGTGACCTTGGTTTTCGGGCTTCTCCGGCTGATCATTCCCTTTTTATCTACAAAAAGGGCTCGGTTTTTGTTGCGGCGTTAATCTATGTCGATGATGTTATCTTGGCGGGTAACGACATGGACTTCATCAATCATGTGAAGCAATTCCTCGATCACAAGTTCAGCATTAAGGATCTTGGTGTGCTTCGTTATTTCTTGGGACTTGAAGTTGCTCGGTCACCTCAGGGTATTGTTATCAGTCAGAGGAAATATGTCATGGATATTTTGGTTGAAGCAGGTGTCCTCGCTGCCAAACCAAGTGCTTTCCCGGTTGAGCAAAATCACCAGCTCACCAGGCCGTCTTCGGATTCCCTTGTGGATGGTTCCTCCTATCGACGTTTAATCGGTCGTCTCCTTTATCTTACAGTCTCTCGTCCCGATATTACTTATGGTGTGAATATTTTAAGTCATTTTGTTCATGCTCCCACGCAGGCACACATGGATGCAGCTCGGCGAATTTTGCGTTATCTGAAGACTTCTCCTGGTCAAGGTCTCTACTTTCCTTCTGCAAATTCGCTCGAGTTGGTTGCTCACTGTGATGCCGATTGGGGTGGTTGTCAGTCCACTAGGCGGTCCACTAGTGGTTTCTTCATTTCGCTAGGAGCGGCTCCTATATCCTGGCGTACTAAGCGTCAAAAGGTGGTTGCCAGGTCCTCCGCTGAAGCAGAGTATCGGGCCATGGCAAGTACTGTTAGTGAAGTCATTTGGCTGCGGTGGTTGTTGCACGAGCTCGGAGTTCCCCAGTCTAAGCCTACTCCCATCTACTGCGACAATCAGGCAGCTCTCCACATTGCTGCCAATCCAGTCTTCCATGAGCGTACCAAACATGTGGAGATGCCGAGATGGATTGTTACTTTGTTCGTGAACGCTTTGTTTCTGGAGACATCTTGCCTTTGAAGGTCAGTTCACACCATCAAGTGGCAGATCTCTTCACAAAAGGTCTAGGCGCAGACCGTTTTCGCTTCCTTCTGTCCAAGCTGAACGTTCGAGATCTCCACCGTTCAGCTTGCGGGGGCGTATTGGATCGAGATGGACAACCCACGACAGTAGAGGTCCAGCCCAAGCCTTCCTCGGCTAAGACTTCCTCTACTTGGACGACAAGGAAACCTTTTCCCTCTTGTTCTCGTGTTGACCTAGGGAAAGAAGTTCCAGCTCTATATAATGCTGCTGTAGGCCAAACGGCCATTGTATCAAATTATCAATCAATAATATCATAGCCGGAGAGGCTGATCTCTCCCGTGGATTAGTCCTAATTAATCATCAGGGATACCACGTAAAAATCTCGCGTCTCTTTCGTTTGTGCTCGATTTTACAATTAAAGATTTGATATTTTTTGGAAGAACTCAATAACAGAAATCGAGGATAAATGAGAAAAGGATATAATCAAGATGCACCTAAAAATTTGAGTGTACTGAGCACGATAGAACAGAAAAGAGTGCAGCACAGAAAACAAAACCCCGATTTTATTGATAATTAAGGCCGATGATGAAGTCATTTATTCATATTACAACCATTATTGATGATCTTATGCAAGGCATCCGGGCTTCACGAAACTAACACGTTTCACGACCTTTGCAATGCCAAACAAGAAGCAAGGGAAAGCAAAGAAAAAAAAAAACACTGAAATTAAGTAGATCGAACACTAGCTATATAGCGCTTAACTAAATTAACCCAAACAGTAGTACTAGCTAGGTGACCAGGTACCTAGCTTAGCTACTATAGGGAATATGACTTCATCATCTACTTGGTTCGTCACTCGTCGGATCAATAAGCGCAGACAAAGCCAAGGGGGACGCTGTGGTCACATTTGTTGAGAAGCACAGTGAGAGCGAGGTTGATGTTGAGACCGTTAATGAGTCCTCCGAGCCCCAGAGTGGATGTTTTAAGGGCCGCACAAACACAAAGCGCGGCGTCGAGGTCAGCCACCCCGTTGATGAAGCTGCAGCACGGCTCGCTTGCTGGCTGGGCTCCGATCCTGATCTTGAGCAGGTACTCCAGCAAGTCAACGCAAACGCCCAAGTTGGCCGGGTCGCAGGTGGTGGCGGTGGTGGAATAGGAGAACATTAGGAGGTTGAGGGCAAGGAAGAGGCCGAGGATTGCTTTCGAGGAAGCCATTTCGTCTCTGGTCTGTTGCTGGGAGAGTGGAATCAAAGGGTTTGATCGAGCAAAGTATTAAGGGTGAGATGATTAGAAGATAGTGGCTTAGGGAGAAACCGATGAGGGTATTTATAGGACGAGCGGTACTAGTACTGCATTGAGATTCGGCTTAATTAGCTCTTTCCTATCCAATGTGCATGGAAGTTAGGGTTTAGTACTTAGTGGACATTTGTTTAGTGGAAAAATTATGCCCGTAGTCGTCAACTTGCCATCAATCAATTAATTAATATGCCATTCATCCCCGTTAATGGAGAATGGGAGCGGCCGGGCGAAATCCAGCGTTGGAAATAATAACTATGCTAGTTGCCATCTTTTGTATAAAATATGTAACTGTTTCTCTTTAGGTGTTGCAAGTGTAATTAAGGCAAGGCTCCATTCATAGGCAAGTACCCAATATGAGTTTGCTCCTACTCCAGAAAGGTTGGAGAGAGTTCCCATTCATCGATTACTGAGGATTTAACAGGAAAATTCTTAGCTCCAACGTTGGTTGGACGCAGAAGCTCCAACCATCCAACGTGTCAGTTTGTTATTGGTGGATTCCCCTTCCTTTTTTATTAATATTTAATTATGCTAAATAAATCAAGAATTAAAATATTAAAAAATGATGAAATCACCAATAGAAAACAGACACATTGAATGGTTGGAGCTAAGAATTTTCCGATTTAACCTCTCAACAGGTTCCCGGGTATTAGTTTATACAGCAACTTGACATGTGCTGAATGCTGATCATAAAGGTAACTTAATAATTAGGCATATATAAAAGCGTTATTATCTATGTGGAGACCAATGAATTAGTGAGTGGAGTATCTTTCAAGTTTTGCAAAAGGGCAGCTGATCGAGAGCACTAACAATCTCCTTCTGAAGTATTGTTACCGGCATCTGCTGGACACAATTTTTGGCCAGAGCCAACATCATATTAAAAACGGATTAATCACAATAACTCGATTCATATAAATTTGAAGTTTGCATATGTATATGACACCATATATCATATATGTATCCAAGGGTACTAGCTATAATCAATCACTTAGATTCCTCTTGCTTTGCTATGGTAGGCATGTCTCCTAATAAATTACGAGATCCAAGGTGCCATTGCATCGGGTGTATAGTTTATTGCCCCACTCAGATCACGTTGTTGATAGATTAATGGCCCTCTTGAACTTCATTGGTTTACAACTTCAAGATTTTTTAGCTTTTATTGAACAACATTTGCATATGAGCCTCGTGCAAATTGATGGGTTAAATGAAAGAAAATTTGCCGAATTAATTAGCTAAAGACAAAAGTAAGGTCAACTCTAATCTCTAGGTATTTCTCATACTTACTCTGATGGTTCGAATAGTTGCTTGAGGTTTAAGCATATATGAACGTCATGACACTTTTCTATTTTTCATATGAAAGCTAATTCCGTGATCTTTTAATTTTGTACCGGCTCATCGTATCGTGTCTTTGAATCAACTTTTAATATTGAAAGCAGTATTAATTTTTGGTTGAAGTTTTAAGTTTATAATAAAGTGAACGACATGCACGATTTAGAGTTAGAAGTTTGAACAAAAATTATCTTAATACTTATTAAAGTGATAATGTAGTTACTGTTGCATTAGAGAATGTTTAAAATGACAAGCACCTTTAATTTTTGTAGGTGACAGCCAGCCCTAAATTACGTGGCCATTATAGGGTTTTTTTTTCGATGGTCTTCATTGAAATCATAATTTTTATGTTTTTGTGGTCAGTTTTGGATTAATTTTATCTGACCTACTTCTCCATTTTTGCATAGAGAATACAATCTCCTACAATCATAGTTCAATCATGGATAAAATCAAGCTTGACACATTCCAATCCGAGCCTTGACTTATCAGGAAAAAACCAAAAATCTTAATACTTATTAAAGTGATAATGTTGTTACTGTTGCATTAGAGAATGTTTAAAATGACAAGCACCTTTAATTTTTGTAGGTGACAGCCAGCCCTAAATTACGTGGCCATTATAGGGTTTTTTTTTCGATGGTCTTCATTGAAATCATAATTTTTATGTTTTTGTGGTCAGTTTTGGATTAATTTTATCTGACCTACTTCTCCATTTTTGCATAGAGAATACAATCTCCTACAATCATAGTTCAATCATGGATAAAATCAAGCTTGACACATTCCAATCCGAGCCTTGACTTATCAGGAAAAAACAAAAAATCTTAATACTTATTAAAGTGATAATGTAGTTACTGTTGCATTAGAGAATGTTTAAAATGAAAAGCACCTTTAATTTTTGTAGGTGACAGCCAGCCCTAAATTACGTGGCCATTATAGTTTTTTTTTTCGATGGTCTTCATTGAAATCATAATTTTTATGTTTTTGTGGTCAGCTTTGGATTAATTTTATCTGACCTACTTCTCCATTTTTGCATAGAGAATACAATCTCCTACAATCATAGTTCAATCATGGATAAAATCAAGCTTGACACATTCCAATCCGAGCCTTGACTTATCAAGAAAAAACCAAAAATTACAAAATCATATCGAATGTCATATCGAAAAAGTTAGTATTAAGATATTTTGTACTAAAATCGTAGTTCAATAATGGTCAAATCAGGCTTGACACTTTGCTCCAATCCGAACCTCGACTTTGCTAAAATCGTAGTTAGTATTAGGACTTTTTTTATTTGACCGCCAGTACGATACAATCGTAGTTCAACCTTGACTAAATCCAGCTTGACACGTTGCTCCTACCCGAACCTTGACTTATGTTAACAGAAAATCAAAAATTGTATCCATACCTAAGGTTGTATCGGAAAAGTTAGGATTATAGTATTTTGTGCTAAAATCGTAGTTCAACTATGGTTAAAATTCGGCCTGACATATTGCTCCAACCTGAGCCTCGATTGATGTTAAGAAAAAAAAAATGTAAAACCATACCGAAGGTGGTACCGTAAAACTTATAATTAGGATATTTTGTGATAAAATCATAGTTCAATCGTGGTAAAATCAGGGTGACGCGTTGCTCCAACTCAGACCTCGATGTATGTTCAGAAAAAATATAAAATTGTAAAACCATAACGAACTTCGTACCGAAAAAGTTAGCATTATGACATTTTTCTATTGAACCACTGCTAAACACGATTACAAATCAATTACGAATTAGCAAACAATACATCTAATACTATTACAAGCCGCAGCAAAGCGCGGCACATAATTTATCTAGTATATCATAATGAACAATAAAAAGTTATGAAAAACTTAACCAATATATCACAACTTGCCTTAGCCACTCTCGAACAAAAGAGTATGAGCAGAAAAGGAGAGACACCGAAATCCGGAGATAAGGAGGACCATTCTTCATTCAAGGCCATTCCTAAGAAGATGAGCAAAGTATTAAGTATATAATCCTCCCCCACTTCCGGGGCAATTCATGTTTAATCATTAAAGAATGAATCATTTATTATTTCCTTCCATGCACACACAATCAAATTATCGATTTATCAACACATGAATTTGAAGTTTGCATATTATAGTTTATGTATAGATTGACGGTTTATACTAATAATTAGTTGACTATATAAGTTAAGTTTGTATGGAATGTTAATAATATGAATGTTATACTCAATTGTTTTATATGCCACTCAACCAACATCAATCCGTGTACTTGAAATTTGTACAAGCTAATCATACTTTATAATGTAATCAAATATATAATTTAATCTTCAAACCCCAAACATAGTACCTCTTGATAAATGATTTCTAAATCATGAACTAATTGGCCATGATACTTGGAAAAGGTAAAAGTCAACCATATATCATTTCTAGGGTCAGACTGGCGTACGTCAAGCGTATACTATACGTCAGGTGCTACTAGTGAGATATCTCTATCTAGACCATGAATTAAATCGAGTTTGAGGTATGATACTATACCCTAACCTCTAATGGATAAACCTCAGACACCATTTTTCTAAACCCCAACCCGAAGTTTAATTTAATGAAAAACAAAAATTGACGGTTGAAATCGGCCGGAGCTCATCTATGTACATCTAACAACTAGATCACCTGACGTATATTATACATCTGACGTATACCTTATTTCTGTAGCCTTAAAAAACATTAGGCAAAATACACTTCTATATCCATAACTTTCACGTTTGTGACAAATATATCCATAACTATCGAAATACACGAAATACCCAATTTCGATCTTCCATTTAACGGCGTGAAGTAACTGGGTGACTATACTGACGGGAAGGCTGAGTTGGCGTTTTAGCGTCCCCACTAATCCACGTGGATAAAAAAAATGAAGGATAAAACACCGAAAACGACTCTACCCTAACTTTTTCACTTTCTTCTCCAAATCTTCGCTCGTTCATCTCCCTTTCTTCCCTCCGACCACGACGGTCGACGAGGTGTTCTTTCCCATCATTCCCTCAACAACTGCCGATCTATCCCCAGAATTCACATCACCTATTCCGATCGGCGCCCTTACTACCCAGAAATTTGTATCCCGCCCTATTTTGTTCCATCCCCCGCCGTCGCCGCCTTAGCCAGATGATGTCGTGCATGCATCTTCCGACGTAATAGACCGACGACGGCCGTTTCCCGACGAAACCCAAACGTCCTGTTCATGGCTAAGGCACCGTCGAAGCCTAGGACCACCGAGAAAGGTTTTTTTCGAAAACCCTAATCGCAACCAGGAATCGACGATTTCTTTTCTCTTCGGTTGTCGTAGCTGGTGAGCACTGGGTACTCTTCAATTAGTTGGGTTGTGGCTTTCAATTGTGGGCAAAAGGTTCTTATTTATTGGGCTGTGGCTTTCAATTGTCGAAGCTTGCTTTAAAGGTTGGAAAGCGACAGAGTAGATTCGAACAAGGACCACTTCCCTCTCTTGTGTCGCTGATTTGCCCCTGAAATTTGAAGGTCAACACTTCCAAATTCTGGGTAAAATAGTAATTGAGTGGTTGGTAGCTAAAACCTTTTCGCATA